TATTCACTATTGTAGGAGTTATGGCTGTTTGGAAATTGGACCATTTTTATGGAGTTTTTCTCATTTTGCGGAGTCAAAGAATAACTTGTCGAATATTTTAGAATTTCCACATATTCTTCACCAAAATGCGCGTTGTTTGAATTTTGGAACATTAGAATCGTCCAATCCGTTCAGGAGTTATGATGTTTCAAAGATTCACATGAAATTTCGGGGAACCATTTCAGGCCTCAGATTATATGGTCGCTAAGGAATTTTTTTCTCGGAAGTGGGTAGGATTTCAGGGGTATGTGTATTCACCAAAAATGATTGTAATCGACCCCTGCATCTAAAAATAATTTTTTCAGAATGATTTGAAGTTTTTCAATTTAATTTTTTAATAACCTTTAAACGAAAACTCAGTCAAGAATTATTTTGGCCTTTAGAATCTCCCATTAAAATTTTTCCCAGTTGTCGAACACCCTGTATAGCCCTGGACGCTGTATAAAGATTACACGATACTTGATTGCAAATACTAGCAACAGAATTTTCCATCGAGGCAAGTCCATTATTTCGCAAAGTCTTCTTGCTTCCGTCGATCCTATTCCTAGCTGACTCGTAACGAAAAGAAAACTTCCGAAGTCGAATTCTACAGAGAGGTCTCGTTTTTGCCACTGAAATATTTATGCGAACATATTGTGGGATCTGGGATCCCCAACTCACGGAACACGAGTATATTACTATTACTTCTCTTTTTCCTTTCCGCATTTCCTTGCATTTCAACTTTGCTATGCAGGGCTGTGTGTTTCCAACCGTGCTTTAAACAGTATCGTTCTGTCAGTGTTTCCTCTTGCGAAATTCCAGCGACTTCGAAATTTTCAGGAATCGTTCGAAGCAACGTGGTTCTCCGTTAATCGTTTCGACATTGAGCTATTTTGGGACGGATGCAACCTTTCGACAGGAATACTGGACGATATTTCTTTGCGAGAATATTAATACGCGGCTCTGCGGAGACAACGGGAACGGAATGCACGGCCGCGAGTGCAGCGACGCGTACGAGGGAACAGGGCCATCTGCCTGTAATTAATGTAAAATGGAAATGCCAGACGCGGGACAGCCACGGAAAGGAGCTTCCCTGACAATTTAATTAGCGGCCGTCGATCGACCCGACGAATTACACGTTCGAACAGGTCCGGGCGAAAAATCTGCGCGGGCGGAAAAATAAATTTGCAACGCCGCCCGGAAACTGAATCCTCCCGGGCCCCGTGTTCCTCGTTCGTCAAATATACGTTCCGATAATCTGGAAAATATTATCGGGCGCGAATCGAGGGCCTCTCGTCGACGCGCATCCGGTTATAAATACTCGGGCGCACTAAATTTCGTTTAATCGCGCGATAGGCGCGACGCGACATAAACGGTACCGCGGCTCGAGTTTCCGCCGGAAGTTCGATCGATTCGCGGTTGGTTCCGCGCAAAGAGTTTCATCGACAAAGACTGCGCAAGAAGGAAAAATCAACGACGCTTTCGGAGAAGCCAAGAAATATGTAAATAATGATTAAATAAAAACTGATAAAAATTCAGCCTACGGACATAACGTGAACACGGATGTAAAGTAGCGGGAATGGGAGATCGAGCAACGCTTTCCGCGTTCCTGGAACGACGGCACTCGATCCCATCAGAAGTCAAATAAAATCGAGATTCGAAGGAGACTCGAACGAACAAACAGCATCGCCTCTCCGCGAACGCTCCCAGTGTTTGCTGGGAAGTCGCGATTCGTCCGTGCAAACCTCGCGGGACGTGGCTCTTATATTCCGCGCGCATCCTATTTGCGTTTTCACGGTCTCGATGGACACTTAAAGACTGTAACTGCCGCCGTTCTGCCGGAAGTTTCTCGCCCCCGCGTGAACTTGAGTCCGAGCTCAGCGCCGCGGTCGCGTCGACACGGGTCTCGACTCTCGAAACGCTTCGAGAAGTATCGAAACTCGTTAACGAGTTCGGGAATTCGCTTCGGGGGTTAATACAGTATCGGTTGTTTTCCGAATTTTCATTTTAATAGCGTTCGGTCTCGAACCTTCAACAACCTTTCTTACAAACTAAGACCACAAAATCTCGTTCGATGCACGTATAAACTAGCGATAAACTCATATGTCGTTCGATGTCGCAGCAATTTCCCTTTTTAAGTATTCTCAAGACGTTGCAGAACTTTCTGTTTTTTTGCGACTCGTTCGTCCTTGTACCTTATGGCCTACAGATCTGGCGATCTATGCCTTTATTGCGTATACAGGGTGTTAGAGGTCAAAATAAGACGAAAATCAAAAATATCAATTTCTTCACTGAGGCCCCATTAAAAAGTTATTGAAAAATTTCAAATCATTCTAAAAAAATTATTTTCGGTTGCGGGGGTCAATTACAATGATTTTTGGCGAATAGACATACCTTCGAAATCCTGCGCATTTTCGAGAAAAAAATTCAGTACGGACGGAACTTTAAACGTTAATAACTTCTTAACGAAGCCTCCATCAACAAATTGGTATTCTTGATTTTCGTCTTATTTTGGCCCCTAGAATCTCCAATTAAAATTTTTCCCAGGGGTAGCCGAACACCCTGTATACGTCTCGACCAGCACTCATCATCAGGGGGTCGACCATTGGCTCTGACCGTACAAACCCCATCCCAGAGTCACCCTGATTACTTTCTTTGCCAATTTACGACAAATTTTCATTTGGCCCTCCAGCCAACAGGGTCACACCCCCTTACTTCGACTCCCCTTCCACGATTCCACCGACGCAGACCAAAAAACAGTCAGTCAATCAGACAGACCCCATACAACAACCAGATCTCTTACGCGTTATCACCAACTTATTCAAACCTCCTACATTAACTAGATTCAAGTCATTGTAAATAGTTGTGTTATTGTTGTGGATAAACTGAATTAAATTGTATCGAATAGCGTTTGATACCATCCTGACCGGTTATTTCGTCGCGGAGCTCGCGAAGTGCAATTAAAAAATTGCGCACAACCGGACAAATAGCTGCGCCTGGAAAATGTTTTCACCGTCAACGGTTCTCCCGGTAGGATCTCTTATTCAGGGACGAGGGATTAAAAAGTTACGTTGTCCGTTGGTGGAAGGGTTAAGAGGCGTGATTGGCAATTAACATCGATTAGGGCATGCAGGCCGGCGTAATGTACCGTTGCTGGCGGCCGATTGCATTATTTATGCGGGAACACGCGATAACGCCGCGCGACTAATTACGAAAGACCGTTCACGGTCGTTTTGCAACAATTTGGAACGGAAGGGGGTCCCCGATGTCGAAATATCGCGTCAAAGAGTGGTGCCCGTTGGCTTTTCATTCCGTGGAATTCTAATGGGCATTAAAACGGACGTGCGCGGACAGCAGAAACAATGGCCGGGCGTTTCGCGATCGGCGCGTAGCTTCCTGCGGCCCCGCAGATTCATCTCTCCCTTCCGTTCCGTCTATTTCGCGTATTTAGTTTGTTCGCGCTGAAACCGATTCTCCGTCGTTTCATTCAGCCGCTCTATTCAATCGTCGAGCGGCCGGTGTATCCAGTGTCATTATACGATTACAACTCCGCGGTTGTTTTATGCCCGCGGCCTATTTATTCGATCCCGTCGCCACAATAAAGCGCTATCAACCAGCCGCGTCTGCCGATTTCTCCTGGCCATCCGCAAATACGCGTCCGGGAGCCTGCTCGGCGTTACACCAGGGTCCAAACTACGCGATTAATGCCGATTATCGACGCTCGACACCTGCTCGATATACGATTTTCCAATTAGAAACTGGACAATGTCAACAGCCTCGTGTTGATTAGTTTTATTTCAACGCGACCAGTCTGGCACATTACAGAGTAAACTGTAGGAACTGTTCGTCTCGATAAGTTGTACTAATTGTTAGGTTTTCAGCTAAAAACCAAGCACAAAAACTAATCTCATTTACTGGGATCCTATTCTGATGGAGAAAGATGCTATATCTTGCTGCTTATATGCCCTCGTAAGATTCGGTTTTTTGTTCATACAAAGATGCGATAGGACCTCACATAAACACAAGGGGAGATATTAGTCTCCAACGCAACAGTTCGTTAGCTCTCAGTTTTTCTGTTCGATTGCAGTTCAGTTCTCTTGTAAAAGTCATACTGAAAGGATGTCTCTTCTATTTATTTAATAAACCAATTTCTAATACCAATGTTAAAATGAAACCAAGTTAATTAATTTCTACACAGACGACAGCTGCGCTTCGATAAAGCGTGACACGTGGCCACATCTTGTCGAGACCGCAATCGGAAAAGCTCGACCCGTTTAAATCGATCCACTCCGAGCGTCGTGGACGACACTGAAAAATGTTTCGTCGAGCGTCGGGTCACCGTGAGTGAATTAGAGAGCGAACCGGTGTAAATTCGCGCGATGAAAATATGCAGACGAATGGCGTCCCGCTTTCTAGCGCTTCCGATCCGCCAATATGCGTCCGATCGACGGGCGCGATAAGAGCGCGATCCGATGAAATTACTTCGCCGCGGTGGGCTCAGAAATGCCGGTGGCAACGACGCCCATCGTCGACGACGACGACGACGACCAGCGCCCTGCAATTCATTAGACGCGCGCCAGTAAGCAGGAATAACGAGCAACCGCGATCTTGCTCGCGGGAAATTCCAACTTTTTACGAGGCGAAAAGCGCACCGCCTACCGAGCTAACGTTTAAGTAACTTCCGTAGCCACGTTTTATCAAGCTTAACGAACTTAAAGGCCAATACCGATACCGGGGACGCGGTACCAAAGCGCTAAAGCAGCCTAATAATAATAATAACAGCGAGCGTACGATTTCGCGACGCTTCTGCTTTTGAGTCTCGCGATATCTCCTCTGTCGAGGGGGAGATCGCGCCGGGATCAACGTCGATCCTCGAGATTTTCCGCGGTATCGTCTCTCCCCTGACGATGCCACCCAGTCACGAAGCGTATTTTCGTCAGCAAATAAAAGCTGCGTGTTTGGATACGGTAAGTATTCCGGCAACTCCGATTTCTCTCCAGTCTTTTCGAAAGCACGCGCGCGAAATCGACGATTCGACGAACGTTGTTTGCATTCTGAAATTAAAATTAAAAATACACGTTACGTACCCACGGCGCCCAACCGAAAGTACGAACCTTGGCAAGCGAAACGGCGAATATCGAAGGCGTAAAATTTCCCGCAGGTGGTTCGTGGAGTTTCCTCGACCATGTGACGTTCCGCAGCGCGTTTAAGATCCATTTAGGATCGGAGTGGATTAACGAGGCAGTAACCAGAGTCCATTTGCCGTGCATTTAATTGACCGTCGTCTCCGTGAATGGCCATAGACGAGCCTGAATCATCATCAGCAATTCTCTTCGCGTTGCTTCCTGGTCTCTATTGTCCCAATAACGTCCGACAGAGAGACCAACTAAGACAACCAACGAGACCGCTTTCCACCTCGTTCCGTATTTTATCGGTTTTGCTCAACGTGCATTCCTAAGAAACAGTACGCGAATTCGAAACATTCGTTTCGACTGAAAAACTTAAGCAAAACATTAATAAAATCGTATCGTTCGATCTTTGCGTCGAATAACTATTACGTTATTCAAAAATCGAAGCTCGTTTATTACACCATGTATTACAATAATGTTAGTATACACGAAGAACATGTTAATATTAGTTTAACAACTATAGAGTTAAATCAGTGTCTTAGACTATTTTTTCTCGATTGTAGATTCTTAATTCTAAAATTGAACACCTTAACCGACGTATTCGGGGGGCGTTGATCTGTTCTTTAAGAACGACTTTTGCCCAGAATCGTACTCTTGGTAAAACTTTCAAAATTGTCAGATCGTCCAGGGTTTATTTGTTTTAATTTACAGGTATTGCCGGGACGTATAAAAAGAAGAGTTTGGCGGCTGGATGGTGAGAGGGGACCACCGGTCAGCGAATATTACAGGGAATATCCACGATTTTTATACGCCTTTCACGGTTTCAGCGATTTCATTAAAAAAGTATGGAAAATTTACGATTTCAAACTGTCGAGAAGCAACGATCAACGTGTCGAAACGAGGCGGGGAAGTTTTTCGAGGGAAATCCGAGCGAGCCACGGCCAACAGCATTACCCGGCACGTGAAAAGCGCTGCGTTACAGAGGTCTGTTTCAAGACGAGGTTTATTTAACTCGGCTAATGGTTAATCAACGCACGTATGCGCTTCTCCGGGCGAAACCATCCCGAAGCAAAGTTTCCGGGATAGCCCAGGAACTCGCATGGTTGATTAGGAGAGAGGACTACCATCGGTGGGATGGAGCTGGCTTTAATAACTTCGTAACTCTACTTACGAATTGCGGAAACGAGGCCGGATTACCGACCAGCCGCGGTGATTTCCCGTCGAAAATTTCTTCCCGAGGAATCCTCGCGATCTTCGGGATCCCGTTTCAGACCGTGGAACGACTGGAGAAAAAAAAAACTTGAGGAAAGTTCAAACTTTCCCGAACGACGGGGCAAGACAAACCGTTCGTTCTCCTGCTACGCGAGTTGTACTATTTTTGTTACTTTCCTTCTTTTATCTCCACGGTCGAGTGCGAACCGTTCGAGAACAGTAACGAACGAATGTATATCCAGATCGTGGAAAACTTGGCGAGCAGCAACCTGCTCGATAACAAAACTACGCCGAATCGAATCATCGTTCCCGATAAAAAGTACAAATATAATGTAGTTTAAATTCCGGAATCTTTCGTGAAAATAGAGGGTTTCGACACGATAAATCTACGAAGAGGTTGAAACATTACGGGGGTTAAATATTGCTGAAACAATAACGGTTTCGTTTCCTCAACGATCTAATTAAGTTACATCGAGTTGGTGAATGATTGCCGTTGTACCAGTTTCAGTCAAGAAAATGGTCGTGGTACATATTATAGCTTACCCTTTAATCGTAAACGATTTATAATTAATTACCAGTAGAACCGATCGAAACTCTACGAGTGATCGAAGACTCCCGGATGAAATTGCACCGAGAGCCTTATTTTTAGTCGATCTATCGTTTAAAGTACCTTCGAGCGTACGATTTAAATGGCTTTTCGTTAGCAACGAGCGTAAACAGAAACAACGTTCGATGGGTAAACTCGTTTCAAGCGAAATGAAAATCAAGCAAAGGAGCGAAGGGGAGCAAAAAAATTTAAGCAAACACAGGAATGCCACGCTTTCGACCGACCCTTTAATCCCTTCCACTTGCAATCTTTCTCCCTTGCTCCGAACAGAGGGAACACTGCTAGCTGATAAGCCCCGATACGTTCCAACGATAAAATACATGTACCCCGGGTATCTACGAGCACAAATTTCTGTCCCTTCGAGGCTACAATGTCCGGTTTGACGTTACCCCTTTCAGTCAACACAGCTATGAAACGATTCATGCAGCTAAACTAAAATATATACACCGGATAAAGCAAGTCTTAAACGAACACAACGTTTCTCGTTCATGCTCCGAGATGTCGAGATAGTTGAGAACTTCTGGATGTAAAGGGATCATGCGACTCGCAAGGAAAGTGTAACGTGCTTCGACCAAACATTTACCACCGAAATCTGTCTTTTTTTTTTTCAAAACAGCTTCCAACCATGAGAGAAGGCGCGGGGGTGGCTCAAGCGACTGGGAAAGAAAACATTCTCTCAACACGCTCCGTCAACAAGAAATAATTAAACGTAACAAAGTGTTGGCAGAATCGACAGGATTCGACTCATTGCGGTGGGGGCAAATTATTGTGGCCGTTGACAGTCGAACCACGATCTACACGAGGATGGATCTGCCCCTCAGACTCTTCCGAAGCAACGAACAGCATCTCCTTCAGCTCGTACTGAAGGCTCCTTGGAATGTCGAGCTGAAAGACCTGCTCGATACGCGTTATACACCTCCCGATGACCCTCAGTGACATCTCGCGCAACGTGTACAGCGGCAGCGTGATGTATACGTTCGTCCTAGGTCGCCCGGAATCTTCTCTTCGTCTGACCCACGGTTCCGGAAAGAAGACGTTCCTCTGATTAACCGTGTACCTGAAAACGTGTTCCCATCCATCCTGCTATCCTTCGCGCGACTAACATATCTAATTCCCGTCGACGTTCCTCGGAACACGATACCCGGAAATATCCACTACCGTTAAAACGTTTTTACGTGGACGGACCACCCCGTCGAACGAGAGAACAAACAAGGCGATCCGAGATCGAACAAATATAACCGAATGTCGAATCGTTCCGTCGACTCCTACCTGTCGTTCGTCTCATCGTCAACGAAGATCCACGGATGGGTGACGAAAGTGTTGATATCCAAGAAATCCCCGGGCAACAGCACACCGTACTTGATCGCCCGTCCCCGGTAATTGATCCAATACAAAGCGACGTTCCGCGTCGTCTTGTTGATGAACTTAACGAAGGATTTCTGATAGTTGTTGATCGAACGAAGACGTGGCGGCTGTCCCCGATCCTGATCCTCCTGCTGCTGCTGCTGCTGCTGTTGCTGATGATTCTCCCCCATTTGCCCGCCGTTCCGACCCTCCGAAATTCCGTAACCCGTCACCGCGAATCCTCCACCGAAATTATCGCCTTCGCCTCCCCTCGTCCTAAGGTTTCTCAACGACTGTAAGCAAAAAAATCAACGAGGACTGGGATTAATCGAGGGTATCCAACCCGATGCCCCGACGATGCCCCGATCCAATCCTTTCAAATTACGGGCTTCCTTCGAGGGACCCGGGGCCAAGACAAGGAAACGCGATCTGTATTTTCGCGCGTCTTAATCACCACGATCCAAGTTCAAGGCACCTTTAGTCCCGCCTTAATTCCTGCAATTTATTTCAATAAATGATAACGACTTGTGGCGTTGATTGGCTGCGTGAGAATCGTGGGAGGACAACAGAAAAGGAAAGGAGGGGACACGTTTCGTCAGTAAGGCTTTCTAATAGACCCTGCCTTAGATGACTGGGATATTAGGAAGTCGAGCGCTTGTGAGAGCGCGACCCCTCTGGTGGCGAACTTGTGAAACGACGCCACAAAATCAACGACCGATTTTATTCCCATTCGGACGCGTAAGCGGAACGAAGCCCTTTAGCGAACGTCCCTTTGAGTCGAAGCCCTCCAAGATACCTAAAATAAAATGCAACTTTGTCGGGGCAGTGATCTTTAGCCTTTGCGAGCCACGTTCGATCGTAATAACGCAGGAACGAGCTTTAACGATGCGTTACGAAAACCGTCAACGCTTCGATGTTCGAACGCGATGAATTTTTCTAAGTAACCCTGGCACGCGATCGCGTGTGAACAATTTCGGTGTGCAAATTGCCGATTTTTGCACGGACTATCGGTCTAAGAAGTAGGTAGATATTTGAACGAAAAGTGATATGGAATCTGAATGGAGCGTCGCGAGCAAGCGAGCAGAAGTCGAATCCGGAGACAATCCAGAAATACGGAAGAGGTTAAGGACCGCGAAGCGAGCCGGATCCCCTAATAATTCATTTAAATAATACCTGACATTGACTCGACGCGAAACGCGTTTATCTAGGCGATGTAATCAATCACGGGATAGTAATCAAATAGCTGTACGTTTCCTGGCGGTCTCGTTCGTCACTGAGAAATATTGAGAGAAATTTAAACGAAGCGGTATTCCCCGGACTATGAACATGCACGCCGTACTCTATCGTACAACGACGACGTTTCGTGACGCGTGTCGTATAAATTTTAACAGTTCTAACGAAGTAAATTGTAAAAGAATCTTCGATGGTAATCATTTTCATCGTCCATCGTTTTCACCGTCGAAATATCGGGGCAAACAACGGAGATCGATTACTTTTTCGGATGGTTCGAGCATCGAGCGATCAGAATCGGGGGACTGAACTATTTTTAAGGACAACAAATAGCCGAATACCGAAGTTTCATCTCGGATATCCTGGTTTCGGCTCTCTGTCGCAGTGTAGAATGGCTCTCTATCAGGGCGAATGTTACCGGCACTCTCATCGGCTTATAAAACTGCAAAACAATGACGGAGAACGCCGAAACTCCATTACGGCTTTCGCCAGAAAACTGGAAGCCCGGAAAAGGTATGCGCGCACGTGCTCGCGCCACCACCAGATTCCTCTTTCATAGTACGCGCACACGCGACCAATTGATTTTTCGCTTTTCCACACCTCCTACATCATCGGTTACCCAACTAAATTTCATTTAAACATTCCACACCTTTTTTCTAATCTTTTCCCGTTCTCTCGATAAAACAACGTCACGCGCGCGTCTCCTTTCTTTCTCCCCCGTGGCATAAAAATTGCACCGAAACGAAACAAAAAAATAAAAGGTCCCTCGCGTTACAAGTAAACGGAATCTCCACTCGATTTTATTATTCCGGTAAAGTCGGTAGTATAAACGTTATTAGAATCGACTGCCAGGGGGAAGAGAACACTCTGTGGAAATCCTGGTTTGCAACGGGGGGTCGTAAAAGATGGGAACGATACCGAGAAGGAGTCGGAATTAGACGGGATTTTATGCCCCGGTGTTTCATTAAAAGTTTTTTCGTCCGTCGTCTATCGATGATCGTAAAACGGGCGGGAATCGGCGCGAGGCGTCGCGGTCCGAATTAGCGATGACAAGGGAAGAACGAGAGATTTATGGTTCTCGGCCGAGCGTTCGCAATAAGAAGTTATTCCGTATATCTTTCGCGATTTATCGCGACGCGAGCCTTTTTCCCACGAGATTCCAAGTTCCAGCCGCCCACCGGCGACGGAACATTCGTCCGCCTCCGATTCCGGAAGATTGCTACCGGGGCGAATTATGACGGAAGTAACCGCGGCCGCGGGTTCCTTCCTCTTCATTCCCCCGCCAAAATTTTAATCTACAAGTTTCGCCGCCACGACCACAAACGGAACAATCTCCATTTATCATCAGCTCTTCGCCGCGAATTTCCAATTTACAGCACTCGAGGAGTCAGTCTTTCCTAAAACACAATTATCCATGCTCTCCTAGCAACATCTCAAACTCGATATCAAAAATGAAAATAGTTTTTTACTTGCACCAGCCTCGCTCGCAAAACCAGAAAGGAAAATCGATGAATTTTTGAACGAAACTATTCGGTGTTTTTCCCCCTAGTTTTTGTTTCCCCCGAAAATGTTTTCGCGCGACAAGCTCTGTGCGGATTTAAAAAATTAATCGGGCCGGCACGTTCGATCGAAAGGGGCCGTAGGCGAGCCGGAATTCCCGTAACGAGCGAATCGCCCTACTGGGAAGAATATATCCGCGCGAACAAACTTTTCGTGCTCGCTTTACGAAATTTTCCAGCGCACCGCCGGGGACCGGAGATACTATTCGCGTCGAAATTTGAATATAGCCGCTGTACATCACTCCCGGGCTCCGGGTATCTCTTCCGACTTTCTTTGCATCGCGATCCTGATAAATGTTCCGCGGATAAGCGCTACCGAAAAAGATAAACATCCGCGGCCGCGGTCGCGGTTCTGACGAAAGTTTTTGATTTACGTCGAAAAGAATTACGGGAATTATTGGACATTTCAGAGCGTGGGGGATAAATCATTCGCAGGTATTTTACATTTTGTAACGACACGCGTGCATATCGAGGCGAGCAAATAAGGAAGTTGGAAAACGAGACGATCAATAATGGACGCGACGTGTCGTCGAAAATCTGATGCGAGGAACGCCGAGGAAACGACAAAAGCGCATTATCGTTCATCATTCGTGTTTTTGCGGACTCTTCTTCGCCGGTAACGATGGATCTGTATCTCTTAGGAAATCAATGGTCTGAAATTAAAGTTAAAAGGAACGGTCGCGCTACAGGGTGCAAATATTTGCCTCCGGCGAAACCGCCGTCCTCGTCAGAATCGCGTTAACCGGATTTTTTGGCACTCGAATCAATTTAAAAACGCTCGCTGCCAAGCATCTCGTTGAATGTTCCGGTGTATTTTGTGTTGAATTCGTTAGTTCCGGCAAACACGGGCTCCCGTGTCAGCAAAGATTGCCTGACCAACTTCGACGACTCGTTATTTCCAATTTGAGGGGATCCCAACGGCAGGCGCAGACGGCCATTTCGCGGAGTTAGTTGCAAATTACCAGGAAAATTACAACGTCGGCTCGGACTGACTCGGCTGGGTGTAATTTCGCTGGCACGATAGTCGAAATCGCTAGATACCATCTACATCGGCCCTCCCGGCGAACGTTTAGTTCATCGATTTAACCGAACCCCGTTGTTTCGTCGCCGCGTTTTCGGTTTTCACCCGGTTTCCATCGAATCGACGCGCTTTCTTTGCCCCCTCGTCGTGGAAATTAGTTTAATCTGGTTCGATCGATCGCTCTCGTTTCCAACGGTTAACGTCCACTTCTCGCCGGTTAATTTATGTAAAACATCGATAATAGTTCGGTCGCGCGAAAAAGTTCAATTAAGAAGAACGAATCGATTAATCGAGCTCATACCCGTCAGACGGGATTAAGCGGTCCGCTTAATTCTTTCTCGTCCGATAATGCTCCGTCTCCGTGATCTGCGCGATGTATACTATCCCGTCAGGATATCCGTCAACCGCCTTTCTCTATAATTAAACGCGGAAATGGATATCTTCCGTCGATTGCTTTCGCGAGTTGAAAATCCGTGTCTGCCATTTTCGATCGATCGTGCTCGACGGGGCGCGTAGTCCTAAAATCTAAACCATTGGCTCGTACGTTTAGAAGACATCCTTTTCGACGAAACAATCCGGTAAAACAATATCACCGTGGGCGGGTACAGGTGAGTTTCTCTTTTTTTTTTTCTCTCTATTTTACGATTTCCGTGCATCCGCGCGCGAGTCCGATTTCGTTTGGAATCCATTGAAAAATCAAAGCGTCGAAACATTTTCGTCCGACCCCGGCCCTCTTTTGCAAAGAGGATTTCGCGCGGAAGGGCAGGTCGATGCTTTCGTTACTGGCGGACACGCGTGACCAGCAAAGTGGACACGATAATGAGAAACGACGCGCGTCTCGTGATCGTCGTCGCTGCACCGACGCCTAGAAACGATGACGTGATCGAGTTAATGTCGATTAAACCTACCGACCGCCCTGAATTCCTCCGAGAGTTCGCCGGGAAATTAACTTAGATCCGTTGGGCTCGAACCAGGCCTCCGGAACGACGTTATAGTCGTCGGATCTGGAACAAAAATCCCCCTCAATACACAAACGATTGTTCTTCCGAGTCTATAGAAATATCCAACGCGCGAGTCTCCCTCGCTTTTCCCGTCTTTTCACTTATTTATTTTTATTCCCCGCCAGTAAAAAAACGATTCCGAATATAATAACGCGAAAATCATTTATTTCTAAGCTTCGCCGTCGGAATTCCGGAAACCTCGCGTAAATTTTAATGCGGTTGTACGGCGAGTTTTTCGCCAGGCGAGCTCGCGTCGTACGTGGCACCGGTGAATTCGCTGGAACGTAGGAAACGTCTGCAGACAAAAACACTCTCACCAACTCGAGTAACTCGAGGACCGACGTAAGAACCGTGGGCGTCGTAGACTAGCCGGGTAAAGCAGCGTCTAGGCATTCCGGAGCACCAGCGTTCGCGTCATCAAACTCGTTGAAACGTATTGACACTCGGGCGTGCAAATGGAGTCGCGTTGTCGGGCGTATCGG